GGGCGACATCGGTATGCAGCTGAGGCGTTTTTACAGAGCGCAGGTTTGTTTGGTTTCTGTGATGGGATGAGTTGGCCAAAATGAAAAAAACTGTGACAACTCAGGGAATCATTTAAAAAGATTAAAATCTTTATAAGTCCTCATAATAAAGTCATCATAGTGATCTGTGAGTGATCGACAGGCTAGACACGGTTTGTTTTTCAGAGTTTTTTTTGTCTTTTTGAGGGGTTGGCGGTGGATCCTGAGGCTAGACAAACTTTCATAGAGGACAAGACAAACTTATTAAATTTCTAATGAACCTATTTATTATGTTTTTGTTTCAGAAGCTGTCTATGAGGAGAAAATGTTCACCTTTATTTACCTTAAAATATTGAAAACGTTAAGTCAATTTGTGTGTCTGTGTGTGTGTGTGTGTGTGTGTGTGTGTGTGTGTGTGTGTGTGTGTGTGTGTGTGTGTGTGTGTCTCTCTCTCTCAGGTCCTGTGTATGATCACGGCTCCGGTCACCATGATCCTCTCCTCTCAGCAGGACGCCTCCTTCGCCTTCGCCTCCCTCGCCATCGTCTTCTCCGTCTACATCACGCTGGTGGTTCTGTTCGTCCCCAAGGTAACTTCAGAGTGCCCTGCTCCTCCTCCTCCTCCTCCTCCTCCTCCTCCTCCTCACCCCAGAATGTCACAGTTTGCGCCGTCTGTGTCGGCACAGCTACGACATTGGGTGGGCTTTAGGGGCTGGGCCTGCACCCCTCCCAACCCCTCATTCCTGGCTTTGTCATCAGAACTATAACTACTGTCATGAAAAATTACACATTTTGGTCTTCATCATCCATCACTAACTGCTGACCTTTAAGGTTATAGACGAGCCGAAGGTTAATGTTCCTGACGTACTAAACGCCAGCTTGTGTTCGATTGGCAGATGAGGCGCCTGATCACGCGGGGGGAGTGGCAGTCCGACGCTCAGGAGACGATGAAGACCGGCTCGTCCACCAACAACAACGATGAAGAAAAGTCGAGACAGCTGGAGCGAGAGAACAAGGAGCTGCAGAAGATCATCCAGGAGGTTATACTTTCTCTCTCTCTCTCTCTTTATTCTTTATTTTCTTCACATTAAGCATGGAGCGATGATTGATTGATTAAATGTTGTTTATTGAGGTGTCATGCACACAAAGTGTCAATGACTATTGCAACTCATTCCTTGTAGGTCTTCCTACATGCACTATCAAACAGCTTGACTGGTGTTCAACCTCCCTAAAAGAGCACATGTCACTCCTCTGTTCATCTCCCTCCACTCACTCCCTGCTCGCATCACCCGCCCTCTACGCTCTGCAAATGAAAGGCGTCTGATCCAACCTTCACAACAGGGTCCTAAGTCTCTAACTAGACTCTTCTTCTCTGTCGCCCCCTGGTGGTGGAATAACCAAACTCCATTCTATCAGCAGAGTCCCTCTCCACATTTAAGAAAAGCTAAAGACATAGCTCTGTCATGGACACCTACGACTTTAGTGATAGGGATGGGATTGATAATAATCTGGTCGCTTCCTGTCAACATCTTTGGTCACTTCCTGTCAGCGGCTGTGTGTCCGATCAGACTTAAAGCTGTTTGTTTGCACTTCCTGACATTATTTCTAGATCCTTGCTTGTGTTGTGTTGATAAAATCGTCTGATAAATGAATTGTAAACATGTATTTGGACTGCATGAAGAAGATACAAGTATTGACTCTGTGTGTGTTTGTGTGTGTGTGTGTGTGTTGTTGTCTGTGCTGTGTGTTTGTGTGTCCCTCAGAAAGAGGAGCGAGTGTCAGAGCTGAGGAACCAGCTGTCGGAGCGTCAGGCCCTGAGGTCCAGGAGAAGAGCGTCCACCGTGTCCAATCAGAACCACAGCTCTCCGCCCCTCACCGTCCCCTGCACTGACCCCCGCTCCCTGGCCCCGCCTCCAGGATACCCCGTCCCCACCCTCGAACCCCACCCTGTCTCCGTGTCCTTCGCCAACTCGTCCAGCCTCTACCAGCCCGACAGCAAGATCAGCCGGAACAACTGTCACACGAGCCGACTGCAGCTGCTCTACAAGTGAGGAGGGCGACGAGGAGGAGGAGGAGGAGGAGGAGGAAGGAGAAGGCGAGGAGGACACTGCAGACATGGGCGCAGTATTCAGGACTAGATGCAGGTGGAGAGAGTGGAGAACAAACATGGAGGATAAATCGTTCTCTGTCGTAGACTCGTGCACTCGCTCCCTGGATCAGCAGAGAACATGAATCAGTCCATGCTCTGAGACTAAAAAAACGTGTACGTATATCTCGTTAAAAAGACCGTGATGTCATTCAGAAACCTTTTATACCATCTGTGATCAGCAGTGAGTTAACGTGTGCCATGTAGAGTCTGAGCCCTGTTAGCTACGGATGCTAACCTGTCCAGTTTTTTACTCTAACGCTGCTCTCGTCTACGTAGATTTAACCTTGAAACTAGTTGTGTGAAACCCTTTCTTTCCCTTTGGTGATAAAATAAATCAGAGCAGATATACTTTTGCTTGTGGGTTCCATCACTGGCTGACTGTTTTCAAAAAGTGAATCTTTAAGTGTCTGTGTCCACTGTGGGGGAAATGTGTGCTGGCAGCCCTCAGTTTCAGAGCACGTATTGTTGCTAGGTAACAAAAGTTATCTTCCACCTCCCTGCGTACTGACCGTTAGGTTTGTTTCTAGAAAGCTCAGTGTGCTTGATATTTGATTTTATTCGAGGAAATGTCACAAAGAAAACATGGAAACAAAGTGAAGGAGTCATGTCCTGACATTGGCAGCAGCTCCACACCTGGAAAATGTTCCCTCGAAAAGACGAGTCAGATAAATTTATCCTCCGCCATTTTTGTTGTTGTTGTCAAAGCTGAAGGAGAGAAGCACCGCCTCTTCTTGATTTTGATTGGGCGGTGAGGAAAGAGTGACATTTACCAGAGAGGCGATGCTCCAAAAGTAAAGCAACAAAAAACAGTTGGCGCTGATGGCGGTATTGCCCCAGGACGCTAAGCGCTGAAACACTGGCAATGCATGAAAAACCAGATTATCCGTCCTGTAAATGCCCGGGAATTTCCATGACTGCTGGCAGTGAATGACAGTTTCCACTGATGTTTGCCTGTCCGATTATTGTCAAGAAAAAACTCGCAGTGTTAGGATGGGGGGGTGGTGGTAGGAACGGGAGGGGTTAAAGCATTTCTCCTTCTGTACCTGACGACCTCCTCGTGTTTTTGGTGTTAGAGTCTGTGCGTCTGTGCTGACAGGTGAACACACCTGATCCTAAATCATTAAAGGTTTATGATTAGCTGAGTCATGTTTGAGTTTTACATTGTCTCTGTTCAAAGAGACTGCCGACTCGTTGTATATAAAGCGTGTGTGTGTGTGTGTGTGTGTGTGTGTGTGTGTGTGTGTGTGTGTTGTATTTGTAGAGGACTCGTAGGATCTCAACAGTTGTTTGCTTCATGTCAGACTGTGGCCATAGGCGGTATATGGTGGGGGGGGGGGGCCTGACTTCCCAGGGCCCCAACGAAGCCAGAGGCCTTTATTGGGTCAGAAATAAATCTATAGTTCCTGTTTGGATTTGTTCACATTAGGGACCAGCGTTTGTGTTCCGTTCACTTTGCTTGTTTACATCCGGGTTGTAGAGCGGTGGGAGCAGGCCCATTAACCGGAGCTACAGACACTTTATGGTTACAGCCCCATCTAGTGGCTGGTGGCTGCGTTGCAGTTTGAGCACAACATTTGACCGGCATCAAGGCCAACATAAAAAAATCTAAATAATTTGTTCAACTGGCAATTAATTCTGTTGCTGATCTAGTGAGGGCTGTGACATTTACATCCCTAATTTAGAAATTTAAAGACTGAGGCCATGTGTCCACAGAAAAGCGCTGGCTGTGCGCTCAGAAGCGCTTGCATGAAGCGTTTGTGTGCTGAGAAGAAAAGCGCTGCACGTCTGTCCTGTCTCTGTGACAACCACCGTATGTTGACAACGGCTCCGTTACTTTTTACTGCATGTTTTATATTTGAGATTGTTTTTACCCTAGCAGACACGGAGTGAGGAGGATGTGGGTAAAAGACATGATTTGAGGCGGATTTCAACCTAAACCATAACACTTCCAACCAAACGCTATGCATTTTTTTCAGGTCAATAAAGGTGGCTTCCTTCACTGGGGGCCTTGAGTAGTCAGTCCCACTTATTTCTTCACTAAGACATCCATGATGCCAGACTGGAGGTTTAAAAATGGTACTGATTCAAAACTCAGTTTTAAAACCATCTGAATCATCAAAATATTTCTGACTTTTGTTTCAAGCACCAACACAGACGTGTTGTTTTTCTTTATATATCAGGAGATATCTTTGTTATATCCAATCATTATTCTGTTCATTCCATAGACAAAGACATGTAGGTCTGAGTATCGTCAGCGTAGATCTGATAAATAGTGGTATGAATACAATTTGCATTTAAAGGGGCCGTGTAATGATCCCTGTGGTACTCCACAGGTCACACTAAACCGCTCCGGTGTGAGATTCCCATATTAAGAGAGAATTTAAAAAAGGGAACAGAAAATCTAAATATGAAGACCACTAAATTTTTGCTTTCGGCTTCTTTTTTTGGACTTTCTCTTTAAAAGTGTCATCGAATAACAGAGGGCGGCCTTTCATCTGACTCGATAAACAAACAAAGTTTCCGTTTTTTCTTTCCCTTCTGCAGAATTGAACCACCAGTCGACTTCTGATTTCCCTCCGGCGGGCCTCGTGTTCCCTCTTCTGCTTTTTGTTCTCACAAACACTTCCCCTTTCAGACACAGTGGAACTTTACCTTCCTGAATAACAACACGTGTTTCACTCCTGTTTCTACCTAAAAATAACCCAGTGATAAGAGAGAAGGGTTTTCTGGTTTCCAAGTTTATCCCTGAGTTTCACATTTTAGGACTGAATTCAGTAAGACAAGATGTTGCCGTTCTTACATCATAATATTTAAATTGTGAAGGATCTTCTGTTTGTTTTTACTAAATCACTGACTAACATTTTAACTCAAGTTCAGCCCACAGATTTTTTCCACATCTTCAACTTTAGTGTGATTGAATTGATTCTGTTCTGTTCTTTTTTTAATTTGGCATCGAAACATTTGTGCCAAGCCTCTCTGAATGGAGAAATAGTACCAGATACACATGTATAAACTGTGTAAATATCTCCTGTCTGTCTGTCTGTCTGTCTGTCTGTCTGTAATGTGTTCTGTCAGGTGTGTTCAGATAAAGTCCGCTGTGAGTATGACTGTACATAGCGAGGATGAAAAAAATAAACACATCGGCCGTATTTCATGTGGTAAAGTATTAATCTATATTTCTATATGCTGTAAAATCAGAGTGAAAATAAAACTACATGTTTTTCTCAAACGGTCGATGGTGTTGATGTTTGAACATGAAGGAATGCTTCGGTATCTAAGGGGACGGGTAGCGGCGTCTCCAGACCGCGTGAATAGATCTCACAATGGGCGACCCTCCATCACAGCCTCAGTTAACCCTGAGGTATTCCTAGAACCACACCTCCTGGTTTGAATCCCCGTCTGACAGGAGCCTCTCAGTGTGGAGTTTACATTCTCCCCTTGCATGTGTGGGTTCTCTCCGGGTACTCTGGCTTCCTCCCACAGTCCCAAGACATGCTCGTTAGGTTAACTGGTAACTCTAAATTGCCCGTAGGTGTGAATCTGAGTGTGGCTGGTTGTCAGTCTCTATATGTCAGTCCTGTGATTGGCTGTGTTTTCCGCCCTGTCGCCCGATGACAGCTGGGGTCGTCTCCAGCCCCCATCGACCCCAAACAGGAAAAGCGGTATAGATAATGGATGGATGGATGGTATTCAAACGCAACCAATCAGGACCTAAATAAAGTGGAGGTCTGTTGTGACTTCGCCCTCTAGTGGATGCATTTTTCAATGTCCATCCCAACATAATGGACACGTGGGAGTATATGGGTAGTGACGGTTATATCGTTTAAAATGTACTTACCTATTTTAATACATAAAGAAAGCATAACTTAGCCTTTCAGTTTCCGAGTTAAACTGCATCAACACATGAAGTGTTACAACTATAGCGCCACCATCAGGTTGCAGTTTTGTGTCACAGCTACTAGTCTTTGCTGTTAGATGGTTTGATGAAATGTGGTTCGGACCTTTTGTTCCCCTCAGGATGGACTTCAATAACCTTTTTGATCCTCTGACTTTCCATGTAGCGCCACCTTGAGGTTGGCCTTTTAATGCGTTTCATATTTTGGTTTATGATCAAATCCCTGCAGACCTAATTCCCGTGAGCCTCAGCTGTAGGTCTGCTTTAAAACATTTTGTGAGCATGCTGCTAATGTTAGCATGTACATTAGCATGTAGCATAGCCTCACAGAGCTGTGTGATGTGGACTGTCAGTGTTGTTTAGTAAACAGGGGTTTCTATATTTACATTACATAGCCTGAGGCTAACATCAGGGAACATCACAAAGTGTCTGTTACACATGGAGCAAATGTTTCTCTAAAGGAAGGAAGGAACAGATGAGTTTCAGACGCGCTGTGTTTCCTCAGGCTGCGGTCAGGAAGGTTTCACAAGTTTGCACTGCAGCGAGCGCGGTGCTGTCACAGTAGGTTCTTGTAGTGACCTTAAACGCAGGTCAACCCTGATCTCGATCACTCATAACGCAGTCTGAATTACTCTAAACAGTCGAGACCGTTTCATCCAGCTCTTCAGTAACACAGATCAAAGATGAGCGCTGTAGCAACCCGACAGAGGACGCCAGCTTTGTGGTGATGAGGTTCAGAGGTCTGTTCATCACCACAAAGCTGAAAAAGTGGAGCCTATGTTAGAAATACTGAGCTGTGTGGGTTTCACTCCATCAGCCATCGCTTACATGAGAAGCACTCGATGTTACTCGATGAAAGAGACAGAATGTGGTAGATCTGATAGATTAAAGAGTCAGTAGGAAATACGAGAGGAAGAGATAAGGTCAGACACAGGAAGAGATGAGAAACATGAGAAGAAACAAATAACTTCAATATAAGAATTTACTGATATGGAGATATATTTTTACAGAGGTTGCAGGTTTTTATAGGTTTTATGGGGGGCATTTTTTCCTTTATTGGATGAAGAGAGAGACTGGAAATGTTGTGAGGAGAGAGCGAGGGATGACATGCAGCAAAGAGACCGGGGCCGCTGCGACGAGGACTACAGTATAGCCGCTGTACATGCAGTGGCGATTCTAAAGACCCTGACAAACCAAGCAGACAGTAAAGAACTAGTGTTGACGAAGGCCTCACGTTGCCTTTGTTTTTTCCAAAAAGTTGCACTTGAACACACTGCAAAGGCTACAGCCGACGGCCAACCTCCACGTACGTTCTGCATGTCTGAGAGGAAATAACTCTCCATGCCAGCAGGCGGCGGTAGTCTGTAGTTATGATACGAGAAGACCATTTTCACACCGCTGTCGCTCACCACTCGTATTATAGGTAGCCCACTAATGGAGAATAATGTCTGATAAAAAGGTGAAAATGGTGCTGGCGTTGTCAGTCCTTGGTCTTTTTGTGGAAAAAGAAAAGAAGAGGCGGAGGAGACAAATAAGGAGAAACCGCACTAATGGGTGAAAGCATGGATACTACAGCGGCATGCTCAAGGGTCTTTACTGAACCTGAGAGGAGAGCTGGAGAGAAATGAAACCTCCCAACAGCCAATCAGAGAGATTCCTCTCACCGACTGCGCTGACTGAAGCCGATTCAACATGTCAAATCGATCAAAAGAAAGCCGAAGGAGGCCAACGGGTAGCGACGGAGCATCAGGGCCTTAAAGAGTGCTGGGGACCTCTAGGCAAATATGGGGGGCCCGCCAACCAGAGTTCATCACCGTTATGTCTGCCAGTGTTATCCTCTTTTTTTCTCTTTTCCTCCGCTAGATGGAAAATTCTTCATTTTTATTTGTTGACTTTCATTGACAAACTTTTTGTTTTCACAGCAATAATGCACACAACGCTTAGCATGGCAACGAGAGTGAGTGCTGTGAGATGGGGGGCCCCCTTAGGGAGAATTCCTACTGTCACTGCAAAATTTGCATATTTGGACCACTGTTTTGGTCTTGGTTTCTGAGCCCTCAGGGGCCCCCTTCTACTGGTCTGGGGCCCCAAGCAGTTGCCTGCCTTGCCTGTTGACAAGCAGCGCCTCTGTGAGCATGGGATGCACGACTTAACCACTATATAAGCTTGTCTGATGGTCCAGTGGCTGCACATACCTGCGGAGGTTTATTAAAACTCTAACCTGAAATATGACTCTTTAGAAAAATAAGACACATGAACTTGTGAATTACTCATCTGTGCTTCTTACACAATGACATGCAGAGGCTGATTTTTCATCCTTGTGTGATCCGTACATTTTGTGTCCTTTTTTTTTGGTTGATGAAAAGTGAAACATTTCTGTCTGGGGTAAGGTGCAAAACTGAGGAGATTATTTTTAAAATCAAAATAGAAACTGAAGTAATGACCAGAGATCTTAAACTGAAAGTCTGGTTTATTCCCTGATATTCCTGTGAACATGGGGTGTTATCTGTAGGCGTCTGAAGGAGGAACTGGGGGGAGTCCCAGAGGAGGCGGGGGGTTCCCTTCAACCCTCCCCCCTCCTCTCAGTGTGTGCAGACGAAACGTTACTCCCCTGGAAACTTCCTCTCATCGCTGTTAAACCATGAATGAGTGGATTTGACAAACCCAGGTCATGGTATGTTGTGAAACAGCGGCTCTAAAATTATCTCGCGCCTCTGGCGATGCAATCACTGGAGTTTGGAAATGTTCCAAACCAAATTCCTCATCTTTCATAAGTTTTATCAGCTGAAAGAGTCAGACATCACCGGGACTGATGTTTGTTGTTTTGTCGAGAAAGAAACGGTCATCACTAAAGCTGCCTGAGTACGTTTCATTTAATTATCCACCCTCCTGATTTACAAAAAGTCTGCTTCATTAAACTTTAGAGGAACATCTCCTCCAGAGGTTAAAAAAAGACACATTGAGTTTGTGTTGATTGCTCAACGCTATAGTGTAAGAATGTGGCAGGAAATCCATATTTGGGCAAAGCGCCTCTCGCTTGATGAGTTGGAGGAAAGAGTGAGTGAGCAGCCTTTCTTTGAAACAGCGTCCTGATTGGCTGAGACATCTGTCAGTCATAAATCATGCTGATGATGTCACAGCTTTTAATTTTTTTAGTGTGACAGTTACTAACGTTGTGTTATTTTTTTTCCAGGTCTGGTTGATCCTCACCTCTTCACACTCACCTGCACACATGTAGCTCCACCCGTACACCAACATCCCATCAGCCCTGCTCAGAACAGGTTGTTTCTGTGTCTGTACCTTTAAATGTAAATGAGCTGTGTCTGACCACGCCCCCTCTCTGGAAGGGCTCGGGTGTACTCGGTCTTTCTCACTCCATGCCTTATTGTTTACGGTAAGAAGGCAGACTCAGAGGGCAGAACAAACACCTAGCTGTGGGAGTGTCACCCACCTGGGGGAGATCCTAAAATGATTATGTTATCTTTTTCATTCAGCTCTCACAGAAATACTTTTAGGGTTGATTCAATTTTATTTAATCCTTTTTCACAGTGCCACAAAATCAAAAACATCATCTGCAAATGGCAATAAAAATACAAACTGTCCATCAAACTAATTTAAACTCTTAATAAATAATTGAATAAGTTACAAAATGGAACACATTCCTTAATAAATAAATATATAAATAAGTCAAATAAATAAATATATCTTGAATAAATACATCCTGTATAACTCTGTCAGCTGTAGTGACAACATGTAAACGCAGCAGTTAAAGTACATTCAAACAGGTAGTACATAGTACATAACATGATAGACCCACGGGGGTCTCTTTGGTAAACACTGAGCTCTGAAATGAACAACTTTACAATCAAGTCAATAAATCAGATTTTAGTGCAGAAGAAACTATCAGGACATCATCGTGCTGAAGTCCTGATGGAGTCTCTTCAGGTCCAGGTCTCGTGCTCACAGAGCAAACACTCCAAAGAAAGTCTTCCCCGGGTCGTCCTCCAGGTCCTGCAGCATCCTCTCCTCCATCACCGTCCGCAGCCGGTCCCCTTGGCTCAGGTTGAACACCGCTCCCATGTACACCGTTGAGAACCATTTGCCCTCCTGATCGGGGTCGCTGCTGCTCGTCTTCTGGCAGGCGGTGCGGATCGAGTGCAGGATGGTCTCGTACTTCCTGTTCCTGTCATCGCTCTCGTATGTGCTGGACCAGCGCTTCACCGTGTGGCTCAGGTGAACCAGACTATTGTGGGAGGAAAGGTCATCTTCTCCACTGCTGCAGCTGACCCTGAACGAGGCCTGGCTGTAGACGAAGTAGAGTCCTCTCTGAGGGA